GATAGATAGATAGATAGATAGATAGATAGATAGATAGATAGATAGATAGATAGATAGATAGATAGATAGATAGATAGATAGATAGATAGATCAGTATGTGACCTCACAAATGCTTTTCTGGAAGAATGGTCAAAAATCCCCATAAATACACTCCGAAACCTTGTTTATTCTAGCAGCAAAGGGTGGACCAATGTCATATTGAATTAGGAAGTGGATGTCACTTAAACTCATAAACGAGTCAAGGCAGGTGAGGTAATACTTTTGGCAAGATAGTGTCTATTAAAATCTATATAATACACAAAAAAATTAAACCATGGAAAAGAGCACTTTAAAAATAGGCTTGCTGAAATGTTTTTGTTGTTTAGTTCTTTAGACAAAATAAGAGCTTACAATTAGACTTTGTTTGCATTCAATGAAACCTTCCTGAGCTGCACAATGGTGGACTTGCCTCTACACAAAAATATTGGCCTGGGACCTTTTCTGGGTGGAGTTTGCATGTTTTCGCTGTGCAAGTGTGGGTTTCTTCAGGTACTCCCACTATCCAAAAACTTGCATGTTCGTTTATTTGGTATTACTCTAAATTGTCCTGAGGTGAGAGTGTGGAGGTTTGTTTGTCCTTGTGAAACCCTGCAATGGACTTGTGCCCTGTAGTGGGTGTACAACACCTCTTGCACAACCACTGGAATAAATAAATAAAAATAAAAACCTAGCACTAGCATGACCCAGAAATAAATAAAAAATAATAAGATTGTTGATTGGATGAAAATACACATGCAGTTGTTTGTGTAGCTGCACCTGATAAAGAAGATCTTTTCTTTCATGCAAAATAACATTCACTGATTATTTATTGTAATCTCAATGTGTCACATGAACATGTAGCAGAAGCTAGCAGATGATTTTAAAAATAATCTTGTGTAGATTCTTAGTCGTCCAATCCTAGGTATTTAAAGGAGACTGGACTTTTTTTTAATGTTTCACTTATCACCTGGAAAAGCAATCATGATTCAATACACTTTTAGTGTTGTGAAATTAATCAGTGATAACATAAACCTGAAAACAAAGCAGTTATTCTATCTGCCATCATTTTCGGTTCAGAACATGATCCCACTTCTTCAGTACTTATTATAGCTGTAATTCAGTTTACAGTCATGTTCAGTTACAACACTGTGAATCATGATTTGCTTAAAAACAGAAAAAAAATCCTTCAAAACTACAGAAATTTGTTTTTTTTAAATTTTACACAGAAGCAAAAAATAGCTAATTTATTTTAAGAACAGAAAAAATGACCACAAAAATAAGAAAAGAAACAGTGACAACAAATGAAACAGAACTAGAATGTTGAACAAAAAGTCCATCAATCATGGTTTCTGTGGATTGTTGTGGACATTCAGATACGCATGGAAAATGTGATAAACGTTTCCCAAAAAAGGTTTTTATTCTGCTGATTTTGGAAATCAACATTATATTGGTTTTCTGACACAACATTGTGGTGTTTAGGTGACTATCATCTGACTGACACAGAAATAAGGACTGTTTGCTGTTCACATGGTGAAAAGCAGGTGACCACTGAAGGTTGTGTGATGGTTGTAACTGTCACAAGTCAAAGAATCTTGCCACAGACGCAAAAACACAACATCTCCAATCTCCAGCAGCAGTGTGACACCATTTGCAGTGGCAGCATCATGTGAAGGCTGATGCTGATATGCAATACAAATATGTTCTCCATTCTTGAACAACGCTGCACCTGAAGGATTGGAAGGACGTCCATGACCAAATATGTAGACCTCAAAGTGATAGGCTCCTTTTAATGGTGCTGTGAAAAACCCTGTAAAACACATTATTATTATTATTATTATTATTATTATTATTATTATTATTATTATTATTATTATTATTATTATTATTATTATTATTATTATTATTATTATTATTATTATTATTATTATTATTATTATTATTATTATTATTATTATTATTATTATTATTATTATTAAGAAGTTTACTGTAAACACTGGGAAAAATTAGTTTTAATACATATGCAAACTTTAGTACCTGTATTTGCGTTGTAGGCATTTCCAATATTTGTAAAAACATGTTTGAAGACCAGAGGTGTTTGTGCATTAAATGGTCCGATACATTCTGAACCCGAGACCATCAGAGATGCAGAGAAAGCCACTCGTTTCACTGAGAAACAGAAAATTATTTGCAGTAGGATCTAGCGATTGTTCTAATGTTTAATATTTTTAACCCAAATGAGTACATTTAGAAGTTTTGACAGCAAAGCAAAAAATATTTTTAGGTGACTTAAGTAAATGTGGTTCTTTTAACTACAAACCTTCTCTTTCTCTCTTCAGAGCCTCCACATGGTTTTCAGTGATGTTTGCCATGGCTTTAACTGAGATCAGCTCAACTGCCTGAGCTGGAATTATATCATACAGAAATACAGCATGACATGGTTTCTATGTTTTATCAATCCTATAAATCTGTTTCATTTTTAGAGTCAGAAACACTTCCCTTTCACAGTGGTGCAATAAAAATTTGTGTTTATTGTTTGTTTAAAACTGGGTCTCAGTTGTGTGATACACCAGCAATTCATCAACTAGAACATGCTGATTATGTTTTGGCTTTGCTGCTGCAGTTTTCTCAAAACAAAACAAATATGTTTTAAAGAACCAAAATTTATAAATCTTAATTTGTTAGGAAAGGTCATGATATAAGTGAAATGATGCAGTTTGTGTTAAATTTTCGTCAAAATGTATTACACCAATAATACCTTGGTACTCTTGTTTCAGTTTGTTCAACTCATTCTTTTGGAGCTCCATTTCTTCTGCCTTAGCTGTTTAAACAAAGAAAGAAAATAACAGAATGAGTTTTATTGTTTTCCACATTTAAACCATAATCCAGYGATCCAGCATAAACCAGTAATCTCTAGTCTTTCTTCAGTTTGTAAACATTCTTGTTTCCTTTCCATAATAACAAATCATAACTATATATATATA